TACAAAGCACTAGGGGGCAGTAAGAGACTACAGGAAAGTAAAGGGAACATTAAGGGTTTTCACAGGACAGAGAAATACATTCTACCTACAGGCCTAGATGTTGACTGTGAGGTTGTTAGTTACCAAAACACAGTTAATAACGTAAACTATGTTCTTTAAAAAAACACAAAACATAAGCACTGGTGGTGGTAAACAGTTAATTAGTTTGACCCACATAACTATGACTACTATTGATCAACTATTAATTAAAACTACAGCAATCTTTATGTTGTTTTCTTCACCAGAAACCATATTGAATATTTAAAAATGTGTTTTCATAAACAAATTAAAACCCAAGCTTGACAGTGTGTTTTTTCTCAGGCTCCTTTTTTGAACCTCATCCTTTATTGACCTGTACATGGTCTGTGGTGAAGAAAAAATTCTTCTCTGTCAATGATGAAAACTACAGGGAATTAGAATATTTAACACACACACAGATCAGCTTACCCTCCAGGGCTATAGGTAAAGGATGGAGGAAGGCAGGTGGGTGGGAGGTTGACAGTGTGGAAGATGAGGAAGATGAGTTGAGAAAAGATTAAAAAGATGTGATGGTGAAGGTACGGACGTGAGAGAGGGAGTTGCATACAGAGTGAGAAAAAGACCAAGGTTGTTCAGGGGAACAAGATGAACAGATGTTAAAGGCAGCAGAATGACAGACGGGAGGGTGGGAGGGGGTGAGGAAATAACGGGGGAGAGAGGGAGGAGAGCACATTAGGCCAAAGTAAAACATGATTTAGCGAGCAACCATCAGTGCAAATATTCAGGATAAGAATAACAAAACAGGGTTGGAGTCATGCAAACCAAACATGCAGAGCAATGCAGTCCATGACTTTTACAAATAGAGAATTCAGTGAAGGTTAAAGCTGCTGTTCAAGTGGATTTTACCAAAGACCTTTTCAACTTTTATTGTCAGACCTACAGTATTATAGACAAGCACTTTGTGTCTAAAAGTTAAAAATGTATTTTAACATTTATTTATAGTCTCTTATTCATACCTTCACACCCTCGTTGTAGCTGTCCACAGGACAGAGACTGGTCAGGTGGCTCAGGTGACCAGCGGCTCCAGGTCGTGGCGGCTTTTTAGGAGGAGCTACATTTTCTGCAAAAAATAAAAATACGTTCACTGTTGATATACACGTATAGTAAACATGCAGTATTTTGTATTTAAAGGTCCATGACAAAGACAATAAACAATAAATATTTACTGTTAAAAACCACTCTTTTGTGACCATTCTCCTACCTGGTTTCCCGACCGGCTGATAGATGTGTTGGCTTCCACCCTGTGCATGGACATAAAACAAGTTGTTTCAATGTAAATTCATGTTGTTGTGTTAACCGTATGTCTTAGTTAGAACATAATCACAAGGTAAATAAAAATGTAATGCCGTGTCAAACTGAGGACTGTCCTCAGCGTGAGGATAATTACATCTTCCTCTACTGTGTGATGGGACTGTGAAGTGAGCCTGGGTTTAAAATTTCCCATGAGTCCACAGTGGTCATGTGGTTGGTGTGTGGGTTGTGCCCTTCCTGGCAGAGTGCTACCATTGACTTTCTCCTTTCTGTTTTTTTTCTTCTCTTGACCTTCTCTTTTTACTTCTTCTTCTCCACTTTACTGTTGTGTATTTTAGAAACTAAAAAAGATGAAAACACTGACCGGAGTTTGCAGGATCCCATCTTCTCTGTCAATGCTTCCTCTGCTGTTTCTGGGCTCTGCTTTCTACACAGAAGGCATCAAGAAGTAATGTCAGAAACCAATTAAAAACACAGAATTTAAACATAAACAATGCATGACATTCAGCAGCACAGTAACACACCACTGCAACCCTGAACTCTGACGGAGCAGCAACGTAGTAAACATGTCAAACATGAAGCCTGCAGATATGTAAACCTCTCTCAGCTTCCTATATCTTTTCCCATACCGTTTTGGTGAAGCACGCCTTGAAGAGATGCATCCTGGGATAAATGTGTCAGCAGAAGAAGATGGGAGGAGAGAGAGGAGGCCATCGAAAGAAGGGTGGAGATAAGGAGGAAAATAAGGAGGTAAAAGTGGAGTGAAAGAGACAGGGATAAAAGACAAAGTGACGCCAGTGAAGGAGAGAAAGGAAAATCCAAGAAAAGAGTGCAGAGGTAAAGCTGACGACAGTCTGCAGGGATGCAGTGAAATGAGGAGAAAAGGAGACAAATGGAAGGAAAAGACAGAGGCAAAGAAACAGGGAAAGTTTTTCCAGCGGAGAAAAAGCTCCACTAAAGCCACAGAGACAAAACCCTGGGTAGGAAAGATCCAGGGAAAACGCCTCCCA